AACCTTGTTGTTGTCAGTCAACTACTTCATTAACCTTGTTGTCAATTAACTACAACATTAACATTGTTGTTGTCGTCCGTCAACTACATCATTAACCTTGTTGTTGTCCGTCAACTACATCATTAACCTTGTTGTTGTCAGTCAACTACATCATTTACCTTGTTGTTGTCAGTCAACTACATCATTAACATTGTTGTTGTCAGTCAACTACATCATTAACATTGTTGTTGTCAGTCAACTACACCGTTAACATTGTTGTTGTGAGTCAATTACATCATTGACCTTGTCGTTGTCAGTCAACTACATCATTAACCTTCTCGTTGTCAGTCAACTAAATGATAAACCTTGTTTTTGTCAGTCAACTACATCATTAACCTTGTTGTTGTCAGTCAACTACATCATTAACCTTGTTGTTGTCAGTCAATTACATCATTAACCTTGTTGTTGTCAGTCAACTACATCATTAACATTGTTGTTGTCAGTCAACTGCATCATTAACATTGTTGTTGTCAGTCAACTGCATCATTAACATTGTTGTTGTCGTCCGTCAACTACATCGTTAACATTGTTGTTGTCAGTCAACTGCATCATTAACATTGTTGTTGTTAGTCAACTACATCATTAACCTTGTTGTTGTCAGTCAACTACATCATTAACCTTGTTGTTGTCAGTCAACTACATCATTAACACTTGACTAAAGAGGTAAAATTAACTTCCTTCACAATTATGTTAAAATATCTGTACATTGAATTTTAAACTGCATTCATTTTTTTTGTATTCAAGTCACATCTAAGTCGAATTCCAAAGGGTCCATTGTAAGGATGTAGAAGTCACATGACTGTAAAAGTTCAAACACAATATGGAGACAACACGTGTTTTTGAACTAAACAACATATATTAGAATACGATCATTGAACATTACAACTAGAATACACTCGTTAAAATATACATATAATAGCAGCTTTTTTCAGAGCATCTTGTACAGGGCTAATGTATGAGTTGAAATAAAATTTGGGTTGACCGTATTTTCACTGCAATAAGTGTTGAGATGATATTTCAAGTATTTTTTAATTAAAGATTTCCTGTTGTTGACAAATTGCATAACTGCCAAGTCATCTACCCTAATTTGTATAAATAAGATAGTTTATGACCTGTTGGTTCAACAGTGATATTCTATACGTCACATGCTATATACTATTACACTGTATCCATGAAACAGGTCAGTTTCAAATCGGGTCTGTGAGCTCGGTATACGTCTATGTTGACCCTTCACGAGAAATACACGAAATGTTATCAGAGACCGGTTACAAAGTTTGTTTATATGTTTTAAGAATGTGCTATTTCACTCATTATCTACTAATGAAAATAACATTTAAGTTCCATACTTTCCTTAACAGGTAGAAAGTGATGTTCCTGGAATGTTATGAATTCAGACGAGACATAATGGTCCCACAGCACTTAGTTGTGCCCCCAGTTGTTTGCGAGAGGACAGGTTGTCTTTCCTTCCTTTTTGTGTGTCTCCTCCGTTCCTGCTGATATCGTTTTGTTCTGATTTGTCTTTGTGTGCTGTGACGTTGGTTTATTTTTACAATGTACCTTATTCAAAGTATGTGCAAAGTTTCGTAGAATATGAGTCAGGCTACAAATCCTAATATAACAGAAAAACGACAACATTAAGCTGTGCATATATTAGCCACCCCTCCCCTTGTCGTTAGGTGAGGTAACCCCCACCGCCACCCCCCCCCTTATCGTTTGGTGAGGTAACCCCCCCCACCACCCCCCTCCTTATCGTTAGGTGAGGTAACCCCACCGCCACCCCTCCCCTCATCGTTTGGTGAGGTAACCCCCACCACCACCCCTCCCCTTATCGTTAGGTGAGGTAACCCCCACCGCCACCCCTCCCCTAATCGTTAGGTGAGGTAACCCCACCGCCACCCCTCCCCTTATCGTTTGGTGAGGTAACCCCCACCACCACCCCTCTCCTTATCGTTAGGTGAGGTAACCCCACCGCCACCCTCCCCTTGTCGTTAGGTTTAAGTTGGAGATCTCTGTTGAATCCGTGTCTGGTAAGTATGGTCTTGTTTTATAACCCCACTCTGGTACGTTACTCGCGTCAGTTTTCGAAGCTGGAGACAGCTAGAAGGACTGACTCATGCGATTTCACCTGTGAAAATTTTGTAACAGATAAATTTCGCCAAATATGAATTACACTGCATCATACGGCTGTTCGTCCTTTTAGGACTCGTCGGATTGTTTTTTTGGTCTAATATTAGCTACAGCCTGATATTTCTAGTCGCTATAATTCTATTTGAAATCAGTGCGACGATGCTTCAATATTATAAACTTATCGTTAGATGCGCCCCGAATAAACTGACGTGCTTTGGCTAGAGCCGCATCAACTTACCAATTGATATGACTACTTGTGACATAATAAGCGAGATTCTGTTTCTATTTTGTAACTTAAATACACTCATTTTCTTCCGCATGGTAAGTTGTACTTACTGTGTCTAGAAGTTTCGCGTCCTGTTAATCTGTGGAAGGATATTCTGTCAATTAACCATCTCAACGAACGACTCATTATGTTCCAATTTAAAATTAGTTTCTCGTCAATATATTAAACTATGTTCCACGAAACCAAATGATCAATCTTGTGAAATTTACTTTTGTTTCATGGCGCATGGTACATATAAATTTGCCAACCCTTTCGAGTACCCCGAATGGCTACAAAATTCCGACTGACCTTGACCTCAGCTCCTACTTCAGGATAGTTTATCGTTTTCTATTACAAGGAAGTCTTGCCGACATTTGCCTCCCAGTGGAATATGTTAAGGATAATGATAATCAGCGGCATACTAGGTAGTTTTCGGATCAGTGTATGTGTTTACCTTACGTATAAGGGAAAATGACCGCTAAGTAACAAATATGAATAGATCATATGTGAGAACTCCATCTTCTGTAATTAAGATCTAAAGGTGGTTTTTTTTATGACACTCTGTTATAAGTTGTTTATTAAGCGCTGACATTGTCGTGTATACAAAATCTCGACAACTGTGTCAGGGTTTATTGTAAGTGAAGTTGAATTTTAATGTTTGAAATAAGTTTAGAAATATATTTCGTTATTTCTCAAACTATTGATTTTTTTTCTGAAATAATAGATTTCCAAACTTTAATATGACAAATTACGAATAACAATCCTTCAAAGAAAGAGAGGAAGAAATAATTACAATACGGGTCACAGAGATATTTTATGTCATCTCAGTGTCTTTGTTAATGTAGAATACATAGGTATTCAGTGTCAAAACGTATACGAATGCCCATTACTGAACCGTTCTAGCGTGAGTCCTGTCCTTATTACAAAACAATAAAGTATAACAGACGTTTTATTGTGTGAATGTTAAAGGATTAAGTTTATATATAGCGCTAGAGTTGGTAAAAATCTTAACGATATCGATAGATTTGTCATACATTCATCAATCATACTAGGAATATCAAAATACAGTATAAATTAATATAAAAAGTTATTCTCAGATTTACAACATTTGATGGGTAATTTGTACTTATCCTGTCGTCTTAAAGTGTAAAATAATATAATGGCCCGTCTCAACAATTGAGGAGAGAAAATCTATCGCATCATAATTTCTCTCGATGGCTTCTATAGACTTTCTTGAAACACACAATTCCGGGTTAGACATATTTTTTTCTATTTCTTCAGTGAATGTGTCCTGGATATTCTTCCGCTTTATTGTTCTCTGTCATCTCAGAATTTAAAGAAAAACACAATTGTTTATCTATTTAGAAAAACACTTCCTTATTTATATCAACTTCCTTATCTTGGTTGTAGCATGCCTGGTTTTGTTTAACCTACATTGTTTTACATGTCAAAGTTGATTCAATATCTACAGGCTTAATCAGAATTTCACGATTTCCGTGGCAATGACGCATGTTGATGGATAACCTACAGCAACCAGTTTTGGAGTGATGTAGGTTAAGGAAGATAGTGGGGGAAATTCTATGTTCCCCATCTTGAACACATTAAGAACATTCGACCTTCTTGTCCTTATAAATGTCGACTTTTTCATAAAGCTCTATAGTATGTGCTGTAGCTTTGCTGTCAATCCCGACTCTTGCTTTGAGAACCTACACGACCAGACGCTTATAGTTCTGGAACACATGGTCTCATTCTCCTTGTACTTTTTCTAGTGTTTCCGAGTAATTATTCCCTATCTCTTATTTTCCATGATGACATTGAGTTTAAATCACGGATTTGTTCTCACTTCACTATTTGTGTGTGTGTGTGGGGGGGGNTAACTGCCAAGTCATCTACCCTAATTTGTATAAATAAGATAGTTTATGACCTGTTGGTTCAACAGTGATATTCTATACGTCACATGCTATATACTATTACACTGTATCCATGAAACAGGTCAGTTTCAAATCGGGTCTGTGAGCTCGGTATACGTCTATGTTGACCCTTCACGAGAAATACACGAAATGTTATCAGAGACCGGTTACAAAGTCTGTATATATGTTTTAAGATATTAACCTGTATTAATCTGCATTATTGCTATCTATGTTTATCTATTATATCAATCAACAAGTCACACTATGAACTTGGGTGCGGAACAATATGGGCTTCATACATATATCTAGGATTATAGCATCGTCATGTATTCTTTATCACACGTTAAAAAATGAGGCATAAGATCATAGCTAAAACCTTACTAGGATTTGTTCTCCAACAAGTTTTTTTGTTGGTAGATTCTAAATACCACTTTCCCATCTTATATTTAGCATACGTGCTAATAAAACTCTTTCAATGTTATGCAATAATATAAAAAAAAAACCGAGCGGAAATAACTCATTATATTGTTGTATAATGACACGTAATACCACCGAGTTATTGTCAATGTAATAGTACCCTTTAAAGATAACTATGCAGTTTAGTGTATGCTATATATAGTTAAAGTGTATTGAATAGGTCCACGCATGGTTGATATAACCACAGTGAGCACCACTGGGACAGCAATTACACGATGTCTTAACGACATCCGTGTGGTCGAATGTATAAAATGGCAGATCAGCATGCAACGATATTGAACTGTGTTTGATATTTTATATATATTCAGTACATGCTTCAGATTTGTTTATATATAACAACCACACATATCATGTCGGATTTACATACTCACCCTTTTGTAGGGAGAGGAGAATACATGTCGCAGTTCGAGGAAGCCTGGGACGATCATAAATTTATGGGAATATTTGGGTTGAAATCAGTGGGAAAGAGCAGAACAGCTTTGGAGCTTGCCAGACGTTTCCGGGAAAGGACAGTGAACACATCAATGTCAGTTGTTCGGCAGCTGCCAAAGACCAAGGCCATGAATCACCTGTACAGACGGATTCTCGGCGAGTTACATATGTACGATGACATGAGAGAAAACATTAACCAGGCAGCATCTTTGATTTGGCAGTTTATTCATACCTTGGACCATGAAATGGTGATGATTATCGACAATTGTGAGAATGTCATTGAAAGTGAAGAATATCAATCATTCATCAATTTTATTCAGAGACTTGTTCAGGCGTCGGAACGAATCCATGTCGTTGTAACGTCATGTGTTGCCATACCAGAAGCAGACAGGCATCTTGGATTTTTCCGTGAACTTTTACCTCTAAGTGAGGAAGAATCTTTTATCTTCCTGTACCACATCGTCCCAGAGGAGAGTTCCGCTGATTTAAGAAAAATGGCAGCCTTGTGTGAAGGACTTCCGCTCGCCCTGCAAATGATAGGTACTGTCAAAATAAATATGATTCTCCACTGATGTGGTTTCGATCGATGGTAGGTCTCTTATTGCATGATTGTACCTTACGAAGTAAATACGTGCATAAAAATTGAATATAAAATTGATTAAATGTACTTCTTTGTCGTCATTCAAAAATATTTATAATAAGATTGACGTGTTTTATGATAATGAGTTCCCACTTTGTGTTCTCTTGTTCTCTCCACCAAATCAGGTACTCAGTTTGGTGATTACACCGCCGATGAGATGATAATGTTGCTGACTGCTTCCAGAATAGAGTACCTCAGTGACGAATTCTATCCAGCTGGCGAGAAACCCGGTAATTGGTCTTCTTATGTTGGATTTTTTTGTGCTTTTAAAACAACACAAAGCTACTGTTGGACGATAGTCCATACCGCTATGATAAAAATTAACACTGTTAAAAGGAATATACAGTTATTTATTCTTATATAAAAACATGTATAATAGAAATGTTCACGGTGACAATAGCCTCGTACCATAGTCACAGTAGGAAGGTACCATAGTCACAATTGACTGGTACCATAGTGACAGTAAGAAGGTACCAAAGTGACAGTAGGAAGGTACCATAGTGACAGTAGGAAGGTACCAAAGTGACAGTAGGAAGGTACCATAGTGACAGTAGGAAGGTACCAAAGTGACAGTAGGAAGGTAC